GTCAGTGATTAGCAAATTATTCGATCATTTCAGATTTTGTCTGAGTTAGACATTTTTTTTGAAGCTATATTTTTATCCATTCAATACATATTTTTGAATGCTGACTATTTCATTTTAAGCATATAATATTTTTTTTTAAACATTTTGTTTTCAACATATAGGCATACTCATACATAACAGGATATGATGATAAAAATAATTTTTCTAAAACTAAATGCTTTTATGATTGCTTTTTTGAATAAATCTTTTGATATCTTACACCGTTCGTAATTCAAAGTAGAAAAGGGGCTTTAAGCATTAGCTTTTATATTTTAAGGATATATAAAGCATTATATATATAGATGAACTAAAATACAAATTAGTGTAAAGGAAAAGATAAAAAGCTAGGTACCCTATCAGTCATTTTAAGCCCAAAAAATCGGAAGCAATTTCCTATGAAATTTAAACATTTGACATTCCAATGTTGCGGTAGACACTGTTATCAAACGTTCATGCTCTGGTAAGATCGCATCAGTGAAAATCCGTTTACATGTAATAGGTATAAATTTTAAATTGATACACCTTTCAACATTCGCCTTTGAATTCCAACCACAAATAGCTCAAATTATGAATGAGTGGTTAGCGCTCTAGAGAGTTCTGTTACATTCCCGATTTGGAAAACAAAATGAAATTTAAAGAGGCTAGGATTACACATTTTGTATCAATTAAAGAGGATCTTTTTCCCCTCGGCATTCATATTGGTTTATATATTTCTATCTATAGATTAAATTTATTGTAACCCTGATGTGACTTTGTCACCTCTGGTTTCAAACGGCCCTTAGTACCAAAATGTATCTCTGAACTTCAGAGAATCCGCGACTGGCATAATGTAATTAATACGACAATTAATCATTATTCAAGTTTAAAATAGAAGTGTGTATTATAAAGAGAGCAATTCTTACCTTTTTTAGAAGTTGTTAAAAAATGAACAAGATATTTGAAGTTTACCGAGGCAGCTTATTTTAAGGTATGCTATTTTTCAGTCATTTGAGACGCTGATTTTTCTTTGTCCAAATTAATACTCGTCAGGGGAAAAATGAATATGTTTATGTTTTAAAATGCTGAAATTTCAAGAAACTTTCTTTTATCTACCGGATTTGAAAATTAAATATTTACAATTTTATATACGTCTAAACACATGCTTAACTGTTATGTAAAACTTAACCATAGTACTGTTATAATGAAATAAAAATGAAATACTTGTTTTTTTAAATCTTTACGAAATTTGCCGTACACTTTAAGCAATGCAATCATAAGAATTGGTTTGTCGGAAAATATCATTGATAAATATGACAAAAGTTTATTTGCAATTTTGTTTTAATTTATATCTATAAATATGGTTCATATTCGTCAATATTCTAATGTCGTCAATTGGGTCATTCACTCGTGTTTCATAGTTGTAAAAAAGATTAAGCGTATGAACCAAACGCATTTTGTTTTTATCAAGTTACATTTTATATTTATATATTTTGCATTTCCTAATCTGGGAACATAAACTAAGATCTGACTTAAGCCAAAATTTAGAGTCGTATAATTTGAACTTCTGTAAACAAATATGTTTCAAATGTTGCATGTTTGGATGATTATAGATTTCATATTTAAGCTCCTGATGAAAAATTTGAAAGTTTATTCTCAAATTTATTTTAAATATTTAACTTATAAGTTTTATCTCTTATATGTTCTAAGTTTATTGTCTTTAGATAATAATTATCCCTAAGAATAAACGTCTATTGATTTAAGTGATTAAAAGTAAAGATAATGATCAGTGACCAATTTCATAAATCCAGTAAATAAAACAAATTGTGAATAGGACAAAAACGCCGATCCCTGAAACACCAGAGGTGGATCAGGTGCCTAGGAGAAGTAAGCATCCCCTGTCCACCGGTCACATACGTCGTGAGCCCCAAATAAAACCCAATGATAGGTTGTATTAACAAATAAAGTCCTGATGACTGTAGACTTTGAGAAAAGCTGACTTTAAACGGAGTTGTTGAAATCCTTGTTACATTAACGTTATTTCTCAGTAGCTTGCCTCGGTTTAAATATTGATCGTTCTTAGAGCATGCACTTGCGTATCAAATCAGTTGGGAAACATTAACACCATATACAGATGATGTTATATAAAAGGGAAATTGACAGTGGAAAAGCTAAAGTCATCCCATTTGTCATACAATTTAGATATATATTCATTATTATCTCTTGTAGTCAGTAAACATCCATATATGAAACAGATATGACAGAGTTCTTAGTGTCTTTTATTTCGAGTTCACTGGGATATGTCGAATCGACATATGAATGGAAATAACTGTTCTTAATTAAGATTATTAATTAAACGTCATCGATATATCTTAATGTTGAGATGAGAGTTTTCTTCTTCTCCTATAGAAGCTCTTGGATAAATTCTGCTTCATATGAATATAAAAAATAGGTCGGCTAATAAAGATTATGTTTACTGTCATAGAAAATCAAGTTGGTAACTTCTAAAGTAACACATTCCTCCCAGCCAATGAAAAAAATCAGATCCATATATTTCTGATAGTACTGTTAACACTACATGGTGTTTGAAGTCTTCAACAGAAGTTTAGAATCATGAATACAGTCTCACTCCAAAAAGTGTACTAGTAATGCTGGTAAAAAATTTAAGGCTGTTTATGAATATAAATATGTTTTACTTTTGTATATATAGAGGCATTACCAGTCTAATAAAGCATGTCAATGTTTATACAAATACATCTTAATTGTTTGAGGAGATGCTAACCCCCCCCCCCCCCCCCCCAAATGGTAAATTGGTCATGATCGGTGCAAAAATATCGATATCCGAAAATAAAGTTCGCTATAAAGGTTATTATTGAAAACCACATGTAAAGTTACAATACTTTTAATATTTCATTTTAGATGCAATGCTTTGAAACTGTATTCTGATACCTTAATTTGTATAATTTAATATCAATGATGTCAATTAAGGAAACATATTGTTATACTTTAAAACCATAAAAATGATATTCACCTTCAAAAACATATCATTGTAAATAAACACTAAAATAAATGAAATCAGCCATTTTATTTCCATTGTAAAAAAAAAACTGATAATGTTGTAAACTACGTCGACAATTTACTTTAAGTCAACTCTTGAAATTTCGATATCTTCAATCTAAATATTTTCGTGTTTTATAAGATATTAGCTCAACACTTAATCATACTTGACAAGGATAGTTTTAAACACGTTACTAATACCTGGACAAAGGTAATTCAAATCCAAATTTGCATGGTCGTCTAATGATAATTTCCTCATAGAATTATAATTTTGCATAAAATCTTTTCACTTTATGATATCCAACTCTTACGTGAAAAAGAAAAGCAGAATGAGGAAAGGAACTGGATTTGAACAAAAGAAACAAAACAAAATTATTAAATACAAACAAATAAATAAACAAAAACAGTTAACATCATTCACTTTAAACGTTATGATACAACCATTCACATGTTAAGTATTCATTTATCTCTCCAGAACAAACTATTGTCTGGAGATTGTTAAGAGTTTAAATTCTTTTTTAATTTATTTATTTTTGAATAGATTTATTTCCTGTGTTACTTGATTTATTTATTCATTGAATAAATGAATTCCATTTTTTCCTTACTTATTTCTTTATTTTTACACAGGATAATTTTCATTCTTAATTTTTTTATGCTTAAGAAGATCCATCTATCCTATTTGTAAATTTATACTTCTTAAATTATTATTGTCAATAAAACAATGAATTTCATTGTTTTATTTTATATCGATAGTGTGATCCTATTGACTGTACTTTGGAGACTATTTTTCTATGAACAGAATCCTTTTATCTACCTCTTTTTTGCAAAAATATATTAGATATATCAAAAACGTAGAATATCTTGACATTACAACATATTTTTCAATACATTTTTTAAATTTTTTAAATTAATTTTGATGGGTTTTTTAAAGAATTTGTTGAGTAAATTTTTGCGATTATATATATATAATCCTTTTCTCTTTATAAGCTTTTTAAACAAACGATCATGAATTTTAAAATAATTGTCTCTCTCATCAATCAAACTTAAAAATTATTCATTAACATATTTAATAAATGCGTATTTTACTGACAGTAAACAATTCTTTAGCATATTGAAAATCAAATTTTGTAAATTGTATAAGATAGCATGAAAGCTGTTAGGTAAAATTAATGATCGCACTCTAATCGTTGAGCATGAAGTGCTAAGACGCTTCATTATCGCTGAATATATATCATAAAGTGTTAAAGGTATACCTACTTGTCGCAAGTATCGGAGGGACTTAGACGATATAAATAACGTTCCAATTTTATATTTAAATAAAAACTTTTAATACTTTATTTAAACTGACCTCTTAAAACCTTGGCAGACAGCCAAATCTTTGGCTAACATTCAACTCTGTGAAAGTAAACAATTCTAATTTAGAAATTTCATGTTAATTATTCATCATCCAAAGTGAAATTAAGAAAAATCAATTGATTGACAAATGTCTCCTGAAACAGATTTATATTTAAAATATTTTTTGAATGACTCCCAAAGTATATTCAAACGACAATATCATTTCTAAAACAGAACATTCCACACAATTAAGCAAGTCAGGCGCGGCAGTGCTAGACGAAGTTTTCATCGCTACCGTGACAAGCAGAGAACGATAAAGATGACTTCTCATATGTGCAGTTTTCTCGCTTTTATAGAAATTTATGGAATGCAGTCGTATCCATCATCTGTATGCGAGGTCCAAGGTCGAAACAATGCTCAGGTAAGCGGACAAATTGTTGATACACTCAGGTCAGTTGTCGATACACGGAGCCACGTGGAAGAGTGCCTTGTTTATAAACAAAGCCATGTGACCTAGTCAGCCAATCAGAAATCAATGAAGTTGTATACCACGCGGTTTGTTACTCCTTATAAGATTGTGTAGTGTGAACTTTTCTCGCAAATAAAAACGTCGAAAGCAGAATGTTAACATCGCAACATTTACGATAAGCGTGTAAAACCAAATTCGACAAATTACATAACAGTTGAAGAAGTGTTTAATTTCATTATTAATTTTACTTTACAAAGTTTGACAAGGCGTCGATATGTTTCTATCAAGCTTGCTATCATTGGATTGGGTTATTACAGGATTGATAATGGTACTCGTATTTTACTTGACTTCTGTGTACCTGAGGGACAGGCGACTTCGGTCATTTTTGCCACCAGGACCTGTGGCTTGGCCATTAGTCGGAAACCTGCCTCAAATAATCGGACAGGACTTGCACATAGCACTTACTAATCTTGCTGACATGTATGGAAATCTAGTCTGGATGAAGATGGGTCGTGAGAATGTTCTTGTGGTCAACAATATGGACGCTGCAGTAGCTAGTCTGGTTCGACAAGGAAAGGTTTTCTCCGGACGACCGCGAAAAAGAAAGACAGTGGAGGTTCTGTTAGGGGAAGGCAAAGATATTGTTATGAATGATGTCCTCCCAGAGCTGAAGCTGCATAGACGCATCGTGCATTCCTTTTTATCATCACAAACTCATTCTGATAAGGACAGATTGAAACTTATTATTTTGAAGGAATCAAAAAGTTTGGAAGACAAAATGAAGTTATTTTCTAATGAGAATATCTCGTTTGATCCTAAGTACCAGGTGGCACGGGTCGTGGCCAACGTGTTATGTCAGTGTATCCTTAGCCGAAGATTTGATGATGTTGACGAACAATTTCACGAGCAGCTGAGGATAGTTCAGGATATTGTGGATAGCATAGAAAGCTTTAACATTGTAGACGTTATCCCATGGTTAGAGGTATGTATACAAACCATTTTCCCCTGAGTTATTATTTTTAAACAGGTCGTTAAAAATAATTTATAAAATAAGATTAAAAGCAGATTGTTAATGATATTGAAAGGCTAAATATGTAAGCCTTAGATCGGATGTGTTAAATTTTAAATCGTCATTAAAAATTGGTTAAAAGGTCACTTAATAGAGTCGTCCCAACATATCCAGACTAAATAATTTTGCACTTACCTTTCCTGTGAAATTAGGCCTCTGACCTGACATTCTCCTATTTTTATTTGAAAGAATAATAATTGTATTGTGCTTTACTTACGCAGACATAATAAATAGAATAATTATATCTCGATATCATTTCATTCCAAGTGTTGAAAAAGAATCGAAAGGAAAATCAGCTTTTCCCTTTAGAACTTGACAATAAATGATAAAAATCTCATTTAATGATGTAATTTTCGGGGACAGGGGGGACTTCGTTGTGTATTAAGCATTTATATATGTGCCTCAATCAGATATTGAGCCGGCAATATAGTACTGGCACATATCCAGACATGAATGAAATAGCTAAATCGTATGGTGTAAACTTATTGGCGGATTTTCATTCATTAAATTTTACGCCTTGTGCTTTTTCTTACTTGGAGGGACATCTGATATCCGGTTTTGTTTTAAATAGAATCCATAAGCCAATAAGATCCAGATATCCATCGAGCAATTTTAGTATTCAGTATACCCTTTGGGAAATTTAAAAAAAAGGTCTGCAGATGTGCTAATTAAAACAATTAATTAGTATGCATTTTAAAACGTTGATGACAAAGCATAAATATTTAAAGAGTTTTAGATAAACTAGTAAATTCTGACGTCACTTAAAATCACACCCCTAAATCCATCATGTTTATTTTTATAGTAACATTGCACGATCGTCGAATTTTCTCCCGTTAGATTTAAGCATTGTAAATAATTGTATTGGTGAAAGGGGGCCTATCCCTTGTTCTAGATATTTGCTTAGATGGGAAAATTTTAGGGACATCCCTATCAAAAAGTTAGAATGAACAAAATAAAATAGATATCAAATTCCCATGTTACTGGAGCAGTTTGTTTGGCGAATATGTCATAAATATCTTCTATGTGTCGAATTGCAATATAAGCAGCTAGTCAAATGCCGGATTTTTTTGCTCTACATTGTCGCGTTCTTTGCATATCTTTCTTCAGGCGTTTAATAGTAAATTTAAATCGCCGGAAAATAATCATTGTGAAACAATCGGAAGGGATTGTCATATCTCAAACTTTTTAAGGAGAAAAAAATTGTTCAAATTTTTTACTCTGTGTAATATTTCAAGAAAATGCATCATGTGACCAAGGCCACGTTCCCTTCCTTAAAAACCTAATACTCCTTGTACATTGGGAAACCCTTATCTGGTTATTTGGCGAGTTTCTATAAATAGTACATATGTAATCCAACTTTGTTATATATATATATATATATATATATATATATATATATATATATATATATATATATATATATATATATATATATATATATATATAAGGAGGATGTGCGTCTGGGCTTCGGAGGTCAGGCAAAACCGACCTAGCTGTCAAATTCGCCGCCTGACACATTCTTTGTACTTAACAAGGCTCTTCTCATAGCCAGGCATATATTCTATTGTTATAGATGTATTTTTTAAAAAAAATTCCTCGAAAGGTTGGATGTTTTAATTGCGTTAAATTACACTTAACCATAAAGTTAAATGTATTTTCGGATCAAGAGTTTTTTTGTGTCAAATGAAGTTACAAATATCGAAGTTGTCAAATAATGTAATATTTTCTGTTTAGAGATCAGTTTCAAATAAGTCGAACATTTGAGTGCAGAACATATTTGAGTGGGCAGACTTTTTTTCTATTTTGTTGGCCTTTTAAACTAACTTCTCCTAACTTAAAAATTTGATCGATCTACTTTTAGCAAAATAATGCGGTACATATACATGTGTACAATAAATCTGAAAGTAAACACAATACAAAGTTAACCTGTGCGGCAGAGTTGCTCCTTTTACAGTGCATTGTAGACAGGGGACAGGTCGAAGTCCATCCTTAATGACAATCTAGCGCCAAAACAAATGTCCCACTCCAACGTACTGGGCCATAGGAGGACGATATCCTTTGTAAAGGTGTTTGTTTACCAAAGAGGCAAATACAAACCTCATTAAACCTGGTGCCCTATTAAACTTACACCTCGTAACTATGTGTAACCTTTAAGTGAGGTATCAGGGGAGGGGCAGGAGATTGAGAAGACTTATAAGAGGATCAAGGTCATTAATGCTGTCTTGTTGTCCAGTTTAATAAAGTCCTCAAAACGTTTTGTATTGTTGTTATCGCCTCTATTTCAACTATGCATCCAAGCGCTAATTTGACTGATTTTTGGACATTTCCTTGTCAACTGATTAGCAGACAATTAAGGAAAAGTGAAAATTAATTATCAATCTGAAGCTTCCATTAGCAACATAACATCTGTTAAATGTCAGTTCGGTACTTTAAATAGATCTGTTATAAAATAATTGTCTTTCTTTGTAGCACTTTCCTATTCCTAGTTGGCGGAGATTTTTAACGAGTCTGGAGAAGAAAGACATTTGGATAAACCAAGTTATAAAGGAACATAAAGTACGAAAAGTTCTTGATATTCAATAAAAATGTATATCACAAAAATGAACAATATTTCAAATATATAAATGCCATTGTCGTTTTGATCTTGATATACTTTTTTTGATATCTAACACTTTTCAGTAATTTAGTTACTATTTTTCCAGTAATTTTGGTAACTTTTCCCCCCAGTAATTTGGTAGCTATTATTTTCAGAAATTTTGGTAATTTTGATTAAGATCAATGATATAGAGATGAAAAACCCAATTAAATAAAACTAATATTGTAAATGTTTGATTTTTGATAAGACAAATAAAGGTCTTTATTAGACTAAACTTTTTTAGAGACCTTCGGGAAATTAAAAGTTCTGCTTTTTATCTTACCTTTGTGTACTATAATGTGAACAATTTTTGTTTTACTTTCCAATAACGCAGATGTAATAGTAGTCATTTCACAGACAGTAAACATGTTTTATCCTCAAAATTATCGGTTTTATTAACTTTGAAATGTCATGCTACATAATTTCATTGCTATTTAGTAAAGAATCTGGCGGAAATTTATCCTATTAGCACACAGTATAAAGTCTTAATAGCCTATATACAGATATATCAAACAAAGCGAGGACTTGAATAAAACACTCTATAATAAGCAACCGTACTAATTTTAATATTCCTTGGGGGCTAAGAACCAGATTGAGATTCTTTGAAATTGTATCATTGACCTCATATAAAATAGAATTTATGACGTCATTATATTTTCATCTTTTTTTAGGAAACACGGACAGAAGAAAAGGATAGAGATTTAGTTGACATTATGCTGAAACTACAACAGGAGGCGATAGAATCAAAGGACGAGGAAGAAATTCGTTTACTATCTGATACAAATATAGGCCATATTGTACACGAACTCTTTGGCGGAGGCATTGAGTCCACAACCATGACCATTTTATGGCTCATGTTGTACCTTATTCACAACCCACAGGTGAGATATTAAAGCTTGAGACGTCCTTGAAAAACGCGGGAAAATACTTCAAACAAATTGCGGAAGGTGACAAAAAAATAAAGATGTACTTATTAACATGTACTAATTAACCGAACCTCTATGTTTAATGATGATGAGCAAACTAAACCCTTAAATCAATTAAAAGATACAAGATACATGCAACTAAATCATAAAATGTTGTCAAGGAAAATTTACTTCAGCTAAATTATAATAAAATATACTGCGAAATAGAATTATGAGAGAGAATAATCATTAATTAATTGCTTTTTTATGATAATTAGCTGACAACACACATGCCTTTAGTACAAAGGTATCTTGACATATTACATCTTGGTTTCTTTGAGGATAAATAAGTAAATGATTCGCCCCATAATGACATTTGACATTATTTGGCTGGAAAACTGAGAAGTAAAACCTTTGCTTGTTGGAAATTCAAATCTCGGCATTTAGATTCAATTATTATTCAATTCAATAGTTTCAATGCTAATACTAAAAAAAAAACATATCCAGGAATCCAAAGTACGGATTTCAAAGCTTTATCCTTCACAGTACATGTAATCTTAATATTTCTAACATTCGCATCCATCGGATGTTTGAAAACAATCATATCTGATACCTTTTTTTCAGTGGCAGGAGAAAATATATGAAGAAATCCAGGAAAATACGGGAGCAGGAGAAAACCCATCACCTTTCGAACGGGTGAAATATCCTTTGCTGGAGGCAACGGTTAAGGAGACCCTGCGAATGGCATGCATACTGCCGGTCGGATTCCCTCACAGAACATTAAGAGATACAGAGTAAGCTAATATATAGATTTGAAATTTTTTTTTTTAAATATTCTTCATTTTTTGTGTCCTGAAACTGGTTCACAGCGATATAAAACCAGTTTGATTTTGTTCGGTTTTTCTCGAAGAAATTTACAGCACTAAACTTCACTTATACTCAAAGTCTTAATGTAAAAATGAATATTTCAAAAACCGGAAGTGAAGAAACTATGAATGTGCTAACAGTAATCGAACACACGTGTTTGTTCTCACCGACCGTGTTTTGGTCAGTAGGGCAGTAAGGGAATTTAATTTTCAAAACAAATACTCGCCGTTCTTATCACTAGACACCTGTCCATGAACTCTGTTCTAAATATGACCAGACGAAAGTGTTTTGCAAAAGTTATTAATATGCAGGTAATTGTTACCTTCTAATATCTTAACAAGGGGAGTAAATATATAATTATTTTTCGTTTCAAATCCCCCCAAATCATCTGTTTATTTATCTGATTATGGGAACAAAGGGTATATATCTATATTTAAAATTTTAGAGAGAGGATTACAGTGGAGGTTGGAATATGTCCAAGTAGGGCAGTAGTTTAGATGTCTTAGATCTGTTCTAAAAACTGGTCAGTTAAACAAAATTTAAAACAGGTCGCATCTTTCGTAGACCCCCATTTTTTAAAAATAAGTAAGATAATGTCCTAAAATTTAGAATTTTATACAATTTAGACATACATCCAACATGTTTAAAAATAATTAAATTTAATGATTTTTTTTAATTCGGGTTTTTTAAAGCTTTGAACGTGTTATTTTTACAAAAAAATTTCATACTTATGTACATGTTGCAATTCATTCACTACCAAATTGAATGCGTTCACGATTTTTCGCAGTATTAAGGCTTAAATTAAAACATGAAAAGAAAATATTTTTTATACAATTATAGATCGATTTTACATCAGTTTTGATTACTAGCTGCCATTAATATTATTCAACTGAAATCTTGGAAATTTCTCCGTATACGCTTTCTGATCTTTTCTGATATTGAAAGTGCCGAAAATTATACACCCAAGGAAATTTTATAAAAGCTTACTTAGTTGGTGGACACACTAAGATAATTTAAAGCACTTTAAATGATGTGCAACGTTAGCAAAAGATTTAATTTCGACACGAGTTTTACAAACACCGTCACATACAAGAAAATAAATGTGCAAATGTAAATTTATGATATATGAAATTTATGCTTTTCATTACCTGCATTCCTCGGACCCAAACAAATTAGCATTCGCGAGATTCCAGCGCTTTGAGTGGCGTCTGTGATTACAAATTAGTGTGTCGCTGTGAGATATGCGAGTGACACTTTCGGGGATGATATTTCAAAAGAACAAGTAAAAAGGTGGTAAAAGGATACTTTTCAGAATTCCTCGTTAAGTTTTCCAGCAAAAGGATTGACACATGACGTTTGACAAAAGAAAATATTTACTCGTTGCACTCAGCATTAAAGTCCAAAGTTAAGAGTCACAAGGACCTAATCATTAAATTCCATGCTTTGTTAACACTCTCATTTCTGATCACTTCCTTTATTATAAACGCCAACATTACGTAATAAAACTTTTTAAACATTTGCCGTTTTGAGTTTTTTGCAAAATTCCCAACAAACATTACACTCTAAAAGTACCGAAAAAGAAATTAATTTCATTTAGGACCACTCAATGGTCAAAAGTTAAAAAGAAAATGAGGAAAATGAAACGTAAAAATTTGTCAGAATGCGCTTTCTTGTTCCTCGCAATCTTGTCAATCTTACAGAAATTTTTGCTTTCTGCCACAAATGCTCACATACAAATGACGGAAAAACGAGAGGAAATTCTTCATCGCTTGATAAATTTTCTTCGTGTTAAATAAAAACAACAAAGAAAACTAAAAACAAATATACTGTATCCCCAAATGTCTTTCGTTGGTATAATATACTTTGATTTATTTTTGACGTTTAGCATCCTTCCGGGAAGTAGAAACAAAAATCGCTAAAGAAAACAATAAACATTTTTTTTTAAACAAGCTAGATGATTAATTAAGACATTCCTATTATGGATGAGGTATTCCGATTCAATGACTACAAAGAGACAGTTATAAATAGGTTCGTTCCAAAAATTATCATGTCGGAAAGTGACTCAGAATCGCTTAGGAATTTTAATGAAATGTATCAAGGACACGTTTATAATTAATTAGAAGACTAATGAATAGTCTTAAATTATCTTTCAGACTAAATGGCTATTACATCCCAGCCGACACCATGGTACTAATGAATATCTGGGCAATTCATCACGACAAAAACGCTTGGAGAGACCCCGACACCTTCAACCCAGGTAAGTTTGGAGGGTCAAAGGACACCACTATAAAAAGACTCCCATAACGACCATAAAAAATACTTGCAATAAATATTTTATTGTCAAACACTGTATTTTAAATCGCTTAGTTATTTTTCCTTTACTCAATTATAAAATGTTATCATCATTTCATATATGCATGCTTATTTGCAAGATCTACACTGAATTGTTACTTTATTTTAAGAATATTATTCTAACTTTTTTTCAGAACGGTTCCTTTGTAAACATTCGGGAGAACGATACAGTTATCTGCCCTTTGGTATTGGACACCGCGTGTGCCTCGGTTCAAACATTGCCAAAATGTCTGTTTTCTCCTTCTGTGCAACCCTTATAAAAAACTATAAAATCAGGGTCCCTGATGGGGCGCCCTTACCAGATATGAGACCAAACGCTGGATTAACAAACAGACCGAAACCTTTCGAAATTAAGCTCATCAAACGCTCTTGAACCTCAAGAAGTATTTTTAGTAATGTTTTAATCTCCGGTGAAAGATTAAACGCTACACCCATTTCCATATGTTTTCGAGCTAAAAGGAATCCACAGACATTTCCGAGGTTCTATCATATTTACCACAGAAATCCATATGGTCACGTATTTTTCTTTAACCTTGAGTCCCTCCTGTCATTTGGGAGGGTCTTTCTTTCGTTATTGAACAACAAAGGGCAGCATTTATATTTATTATCTATGTACATGTTATAAATAGATTACCAAACTTTGATATTTTTTATGTTTTGTGTTATTGTTGTCAAATGTTTAATTTATTATTTGTGCTACGTTGTATTTTTTGTAAAGCTTGCATTATTATTTTATATTTTTTCCTTGATGTTAAGTTTCAAAGAGACATATTATTTATTCGCAATATTTTTTCACTGATTATTTTAAAACCTTATATTAATTACATTGTATTATGTATATAAAGTTATGTCATTGTTTTAACCAAAGACGATCACATGTGAAATTTATTTATTATGCCACCAGCTTTTTACATCTTGTTTGTCCAACATCATCATAATTTTTCATCATTTCGTGCATTCCATATATAATGTTACAGTCCCTGAAACGTTCTACTTTCCCATTTTCCGTTCGCTCACCGTTCGTTCACCGTTCGTTCAGCGTGCGTTCACCGTTCGTTCACCGTTCGTTCACCGTTCGCTCTCCGTTCACAGTTTTGCGTTCACCGTTCACCGTGCGCTCGCGTTCACCGTTCACAAAGCGTTCAGCGTTCGCTCTTCGTTCCGTTCACTTTGCGTTCACCTTGCGTTCAGCGTTCACCTTTCGTTCAGTTTTGATTGTCATTCGGAACTCCGAAGTGAAAGGACTTATCTTTTTGTAGGTAAGGAGTTACAGGGTTTTTTTTTTAATTTAATAACTAACATATCGTGTTTGAAGAATCATTATTTAATGGGGGAAAATATCTACGATATATATATTTATTATTCTAACTTAGCTGTTCGGTTATTTATTAAATTACTCTGGAAAATAAATGTTGTTATAAGCACATTCTGTACCTATGTAGACCGATGCTGAAATATTAAATTTAACTAAGGGCAATGTGCAAATACTTCAAGCTCTGCAACAATTTGTTGTTTTGTTAAATTAAATGTTTGTGATATAATTATCCAAGTAAAATAATTAGGCAGCAAAATTACGAAAATATTTATTTCTAACACCTTTTTTTTCAATTACTATAGAAAATATGATAGAACTAGTTCTGAGAGTTATACATAGTACTGCGGATATCCTGTTAATTTATTATCTTTGGAGCGAATGAAATTGATAGTGTGGTTAAAGGAAATATTTATTTAAAATGTAATGCACTACAGAATTTTCTCTACTATAATATGTTAAGTTTATAGTTATAGAGAAAAAAATTCTTTCTTCACCGTAACTTTATATGTTTGCCATTCGATATGATTAATACCCCCCCCCCTTTTCCCTCAAATCGATTACTTAGACAGTACTGTATTTCCAGAATATTTTAATTAACATTTAAAAAAAAAAGTTAAGGTCTTTTTTAGAACAAAAATTTCAGTCTCAAAACAAACATGCATCTAAAAAAAGTCACAAAACAATAGTAGTTCAAAATGTACACATGTCGGCGGTGGTATTTGAAATTGGCAGAGAGTATGTTTCAAATTCAAGTGTTAATGCCCAATGTATTTTATTCATTTATTATCTAAATGTTGGAATCAAATCTAGAAATGATGAAAATAAATGTTATAACTTGTTGGAAATACTCGCACTTCGCCTTCGATGTGACGAAACTTTCACACCTGCACAGTGTCGAATGATTTTGATTGACAGCACAAGCACGTGGACTTCGTGTGAACTTGAAGCAGGAAAATAAAAATTAGTATGACTGTCAAACAAATGGATATGATTTGTTGATTAAAAAAAAGTTACTTTCACTGTCTGATATATTTAGAAAAAAAATTCAGAGTTTTTGTTTGATATAGGTACAAACATTTAGTAAAGCCTGAAAGGAGGGGGGGGGGGCTAAAACGGTATCTCTCTCTCTCTCTCTCTCTCTCATTTGTCTGTTTAATAAACACTATAACAGCATATTACTTAAATATCAAGTTCTGAAAATTGAATTTATAACAAATAATATGAATATGCATCTTTGTATTATCTTGTCCGAGTATAATCACGGCCATCTACAGATACATGTAGAAGTCTGCTCAATAAATCATCATGAAAAATAGAGAAGTGACACAATATATTATTGTATTAAACATTTAAAATACGAGCGTATAAATGCAAAACGTCCACTGACCTTTGTAATTATTTTTTTTTTTCATTACTTTACACGAAATCGCATTGACACAGAGATATATGAATGGATGTTACAACCGCTTTAATTCATTCTGTAAGTCAGAAGTTTTCTCTGATTTGTTATCAAATAAGAATAAACATTTTTATTTTCCAACTAAAAAAACATCTTTTATACTTCAGCGTTCGGCAACAATTACAATGTTTTAATGCGATAAAAATCGTGTGATTAAAAACTTAATGTGCATGCATCGTCTTTCTTAGGACAATTTTGGAGAATTTATTTTATTGACTTATTTATTCATTCATTTATTGGTTTACCTATTTATTATTTATTTATTTATTATTATTATTATTATTTTGCACCCAACATTATAATACAATAAAATAGTTTCAATGCAAGGAAAAGATCAGAGGCATTCCGAATATATCGTTCATCTTGCGTTCACCGTTCGTTCACCGTTCACTTTGCGTTCGCGTTTGCGCTCCGTTCGCGTTCTGCGTTCGCTCACCGTTCACCGTTCACACATCGTTCACCAAGTTGCGTTCAGCGTTCACACATCGTTCACTCACCGTTCGCTCTGCGTTCGTTCAGCGTTCGTTCACCGTTCGTTCAGCGTTCGCTCACCGTTCAAGTGGGAAAGTAGAACGTTTCAGGGACTGTATTTATTGTTGTTGAATATACTTGAATAAAAAATATTGTAATGAGACACATACACTTTACTTTCATATTTCCAGCGTTAAGATGAAAGAAATAATCCACATTCCTTTTTTAAATTAAGAAAAATCTTCATAATGGAGAATTTCTCAATGTAAATCGAACAGATAAGCTTTAATTGGAGTGCCAATCTTGAGGCCTTTATAAAAGTCTTGAAGCATTTCTTTTTCAGAGAATATTTTGACCATTTTTCAATACAAATATGAAATGAAAGACAAAATTATAAGTACTTTATTTAACGGCAGAACATGAACATTTTTTCATATCAATTAAATACATTATTATGGTAATCATATTACAAGATTTCAGTAAAGAAATAATTAATAACTTATCAAATCTCTCTAAAGCTGATTTCGCATTATTATAATCCATCCATATTTTTTTTAAACAGAATACAATCACTGTCATAACCTGACAATTACTGTCAAATTGTGATACATAAACATAAGAAGATAAAAAAAAATTACACCATTGATTACAAACAAAGTTTAAGTTTGTTACAGATTGATGAAGCATTATTTCAGACTCAAAATGCCATCTGATACCAAGTTTTATTCTTTTCATTTAACAGCCACATTGAATTTCAATTTTACAACTACTAAATATACATTCACAGATTCACAGACTATCAACTGATGATAAATACGGAGTCTGACGTTAAATAGTTTTTAAGACACTTTTTATCCGTTATAGTCAGTTAGCAGTAATGTTTATAAACCTTTGGTTCCATAAGAAGATCCAATATTTCTGGATGATGCACAAATCATATACCACATTTAATGGATATTTAGGACAATGAAAAAGGTGAACATACCGAACAGTGATAAATCTCATAAATCCTTTAAAATATATATATAAATCGTAAAGAGGGCAAAAATACATACCTCCTGAAACACCAGAGGTTGAGTCAGGTGCCAAGGAGGAGTAAACATCCCCTGTCGACCGGTCATGCCCTCCCTATGTATTGATTAAGCATTAGACGGAGTAATCCATAGTCTATCACAGTTAAAAAATAATGGCTTAAAGTACTATCAAAATACGACCCAACGATTAGTTGTATTTACAAATAAAGTCATTATAACGACCATGAATTTAATTTTCTTTTCTTTCATCCATATGTCTTAAAGAATCATGTCCTTCTTTAAAATAATATGGCGAACTTTATTATTATCATTTCCTCAAAATACATGTAGAGATGCTACAGATTCACTGTAGGAAGATACAATATCTTGATACTTAACAATACCATATCAAGATGTTTACCGATTCATAGTGGAATATTTTCCAATTATTGTATTTTTCCACAATTCAACAATTAATCCTCAAGTACAACATTAACGTCGCCTAAAGAAATGAAAACTTGTTTAATTATTTGATGCAATGATAATCTCATTTCAGCAAACCCCAATTTTTCTTGCTTGTTTAATTCCTGGGACACGGTATTAAATTATAATAACAAATGGAAAAATGAAATACATCATGGATTCTTCATTGATCAAACGTTCAGCATCAAAATATTTGAGATAGGTTACCGAGTTATCTTAGGTGATAGACATATAAACCCATATAATAATACTGCTGATCAAAATACAGAACAAGACGATTCCACACCAATTTGTGTCTTACAGCAAGCTTTCCCCCGTCTACACTCTCAAACATCAATAGTATCAAGGATATATATATATATATATATATATATATATATATATATATATATATATATATATATATATATATATATATATATATATATATATATATATATATATATATATATATATATATAAAAGAAAAGTTTAAAATTCATTGAAATAAGATATCCTCCTAAATTTACACCTGTAATCAGATAGGTATACAAGGCTAACTTTTTATCTGTTAACCTACATAGCTCTGATGAAAACAATACCGACCTTCCTTCTTGTGTGTAGTGTTTGCTTTGTACCTATCTACCCGTCTGGGGGTTAGCCTCTTTTCTCACGACCTTAGTCTACTTTAACGCCTCCGTAGTCTGCAAACATTTTGGCTTCCCTTGACACACACGTCTTTGACTGAATGGTTTCCTATTCTTTGATCGTGTTTGCTTTATTTATCTCTCCTCCTCTGTTTTTTTTTTTTTTTCGGGACTTTTAATATTGTCATTTTTTTTAAAGTTATGTTTCCCTCCTGTAAAATTTTTTTTCAAATATTTTTAAGGTGTTTAATTAAGTTGATAATAAAGGAAATGTGTTTTTGTACAGCACAGAAGTAAAGCCATTACTTGATTTACTGATTTTTTTTTTCAATTTTTTTTAACTTTTAGATTATTTTCATAATCAATTTTGTTGTTGTTGTTGTGGTTTTCTTTCATTCACATTAAGATAATTTAAAATGAACAAATTATCTGCCTTAACGATTTCAAATGCTTTGTACAATTCTTTCAAGCTGTAAAGATTTTATCAAATATACATTTTTGAAGATAGAAATATTAGTCTGGGTTTTATCTAATAATTGTT